TTGGAGCCATACCTCAGGCATTCTCTGACTGTTCATGTTCCAACTTTATATATTTCTTAAACTTGGAAACTGACAGGGACTATGTTATGCAATCACTTGTTCATCTGCAGTGTAGCACTATAATATTAAATTTATTAATGACTTGTCCTCATCAGGTACTCTCACTAAATCAGATTATTCATGTACTGTTACCACAGCAACCAGTTCAACTACATTTCACCTTTTTGATCATATTACGGTGAGTCGCCTCATTTGACATAACTTTAATGTCAGACTTTATTTTTTGATAATTTCTAGATAGTGTGGGTGGACGACATACTAAGCTCACTATGCCCTTTAATTATGACAGTTTAAACATGGTTGGCCACTGAAATACCTGTTTGAATTTAATTAATACTTTAACAAATTAAATATGCAAATTAGCAGTCATGTTTGGGCATTGACCTGGGGAAAACACTGTTACTTTATAAATAAAGACTGAATTCCACTCTGAATTAAAATATAGCCGGTATAAAAAAATAGTTTGCTAGTACCCAATAAATAAAATGATGCGTGTTGTAATTCAGTACAAACAATAACAAAATAAATACAGTTTTCTGATATAATTTGGTCTGATTTGACCCACCCCAAAACATGCATGATATTTTTTCAGTTGTGCAGAATGTCAGCAAATGTGCTTTGTATGCTGTGGTCAGTTTATCGCTATCATGGATATAGCACTTAATATACCAGTGACTTCTGTCTATTACAACAATAGTAAGACTACTATGTTCTTTTATTTAATGGGTATTTTTTTTCAGGCTCGTATTTCAGTTGCTGCTTCACATGCACATACCTCAATGACACGGTTTGATCTTGTTGCAAGTGTGCCATATTGTAGTAATCACAAAGAAGAAAATGCAACTCAAAGACTTCATGAAAAAACAGACATAGTCCAGGTACTATCCCATGTATTATCTACTGGAAAGAGTTGTAAAATGTGTGGTGCAGTGTAGTGCTGTGCTGTGCAGTGTAGTGCAGTGCAGAGTAGTTGTGTAGTGTAGTGTAGTGTAGTGCAGTGCAGTGCAGTGTAGTTGTGTAGTGTAGTGTAGTGTAATGTAGTGTAGTGTAGTGTAGTGCAGTGCAGTGCAGTGCAGTGCAGTGCAGTGTAGTGTAGTGCAGTGCAGTGCAGTGTAGTTGTGTAGTGTAGTGTAGTGCAGTGCAGTGTAGATGTAGTGTAGTTGTAGTTGTAGTGTAGTGTAGTGTAGTGTAGTGTAGTGTAGTGTAGTGTAGTGTAGTGTAGTATAGTGCAATGCAGCGCAGTGCAGTGCAGTGCAGTGCAGTTGTAATGTAATTTAGTGTAGTCCAGTGCAGTTGTAGTTAAGTGTAGTGTAGTGTAGTGTAGTGCAGTGCAGTGCAGTGCAGTGTAGTTGTAGTGCAGTGTATGTTATGCAGTGTACTGTTATGTAGTTGTAAAGCAGTGCATAGTGGGTAGTATGCAAAAAGGTGAGTGGTGTAGTGTAGTGTAGTGTAGTGTAGTACTCGTGATTTGTCTCATGTAAAATAGTTCATGTAATTATCCTAATGGTTATCTTCACAGGAAGTGACAAGAGATGTTAAACAGGAAGTAGCAATATCTACAGAAATAAATGATGAACTTGGCAGTGATTTCAATGAACTTAAATCTAAATATGGCCAAACCAAGGATCATTGCAGTATATATTCTCTACTGCAGCAATTTAAAGAAATGGGTCTGGAAGAGGAATCATAAATATAGTATTACCGGTATTCCCTGGTACTGTAGTAGTCTAAATGCGTTTTTAAATTTTTTATTTTTTTTTATTTCCACACCCCTAAGCAAAACATTTTTTTAAAAGTAAGCCTCAACTACTTTTAATATATTTATTATGCAATCTTTTTGTATATGTCAGTGTCACAGCTAACTGATTAAACTGTCTGTGTCTGCAATGTGTAACATTTTTAAAGTGGTTTAATTGATAACATAAGTCAGGTGTCTATTTTATCAAAGCATCATGTATGTCCAAATTTTAGCATACTATAATTTCTTTCTTAGTGTCTCACTTGCCAGGATACCCGAAAGTACAGCCTATTTTGCCTCCTGTAGTTTTATTTTTAGTTAGAATTAATGAAACCTCCTTTGATTTCTTATTAACTCGATACAGCAAGGAAAAAATATCTTGCTAAAATTTTATTTGTCAATGATTTGGATGCCAAAATAGATTTCAAGGGAAACAGTATAGTTGAAATACTGATGTTTTTTCAGGTTAGTATTTTGAATTGAATATGAATTATTAACATGAATTAATATTAGTCTTTTACTCTGAAAATTATTTGTTTCTGTAGAAGATGACATTCAAAGCAGATTACCATGGGTATTATTGATATTCAATTGTAAAAATTATGCCCAAAATTCTATTGGAAATGGAATACTGTGTACTAATTCACTCAAAAGTTGGATATATTGTCAAAATATTTTGTAGCTACCCAATTGAAAGAGGGAATAAGATTCCTGGATGATATTATTATTGCATGCCTGCATTTTAAACACAAAAATAAAATAGATACATCCAGGGTATTTTGCAGTCCAGTGAACATTGTATTGACCATTGCCGCATGTATGGACTGTTGCTTCCACAAACAATTGTCATTACAAACCACAAACAATTGTCATTACAAACCACAAGGACTGCAATGTGCTGAGAAGCACAAACAAATCATCTCTGAAACTCAAACTACCGATAAATATTTGGGTCAGAACCCTTCTAGTTTGATTTTCTCATTTTACGCCTTTTGAATTCCTGAGTTTCATTGCTAATTTTTCAAACAATTGTCGAGATTGCAGCTATTTCCAAAGCTTGGTATCATATCAACAGATGTAATCTGAACAGAAGAATGTGCTTGCTTTTAAAATAACCCTTCTGTATAATACTAGTAGTGATTGTGTCTTGTATTTAAACAATTTCAGTGTATTTTTATGACACACAAATAAATATTTTTGGCAAAGCATTTAAATCAAATTTTTTGTATCCAATGTAATCTGATAATTGGTTCTCTTACTGTATTTTAGATCTCGTAATATGAATGAAATGTACCATACCACACACATATGATAATTTCTCTGTATATATTTGAAACCATTTTAAACTTGTAAGAATTTGTGTATTATTTTAAATGTGTATATTAGTAATAAACATGTCTGTACATCAGATTGAATGATTTCATTTGTTCCTTGTTAGTTGCTATAAATTCACAGCTTCACTATTTTGTCGTTTAAAAAACTTAACATTAACAGGGGACTAAGTCAAGGAGATTGCAACTGGTGTGATGTGAATTGAAAGACAAATAGATAGTTTTGAAATTATAAACAGATAAATGGTCTGTCCTTGCATATTAATATCTAATACATTACATTGTACATATGATAAATATGCACAGTACAGTACCACTTTATGTTCAAAAATATCCCGTAGTTAGATCACAATGGTCGAGTATAGATGTCAATTAACAGTTCAGAGATATTTCACTTGCATTGAATAATGTGATTAGTAAAAGGTCATAACCTATTAAAGTCGTGTGACATTCATTTTTTGCCGACCCACTCCCAGCTAGGATTGCCCCTTATAATCACTTCACGCATACATACCAACTCTTCTGGAATTTGTTCCGACTGGGTCGATAATGTTATTACTCTAAGTCTGGAAAATCTGAAAGTTTCTGTCCCAACCATTGCAACAGACGAAACACTTGTTTCCTACCTTCATGCCTAATTTATCTTCTACAAATTTTCAGATATCTTTCTTCGTTGCCAAGAAATTTGACCCAGAAGTTGGGTATCTTTTTCATCAGACTGCATTTTAACTTGATTTTTATCCCTGGGCAGACTTTGTTCAAACTTGATGGGCTAGTCAAGCCTACAATCTAGCCTATCGGCTTATTTTTAAGATCGTGCATTTCCAGAAGAATTTTAACAATTTCCGTTCACATTTCAAGTGTTTAGATTAAAATTGACACAATTATCTAGCTTACATGTAGGTATACTTTGTTCAGTATAGATCCATATTGAAAACCTGCACATCTACATTACCCTCCCGTTTTAATTAGCTCAAATTACCATCAAGTATATGTAAATATATGCAAGGTCACAAAACAGAAATAACGACAAATTACATCGATTCATTCAACTACTTTTATTAAAAAATTTACTACAAGTACAATACAAGATAAACGCTCGTATATAAGATATACATTTATAAAACCTATACTCCAAATAACATTCAATGAAGAAAGTTTTTTTATTTTACAAATATCTGTTATATAGTATTGGTATTATTCATTTTATATAGTTAAAGGGACATATACTGTAACTTTGCTAGTATTAGCTACATACAGAAAGGTTATCTTTCCAACAACAGAGGTGGATGGAAAGCTTACTAAATACTAAATGATTTAATGACGAACATTGTTATAGTAATGTCAAATTGCGATTTTCATTATTGAAGCTGCCTTTGAAGCATATTATGCACATAGATTAAAAATCAGTAAAGTTTGTAATATACATATATAGTAAATAATGGACGAGCCATTTAAATTATGTTTTCCTTGCCGAAATTCCTTCCTGGAATTGTGGAGCTGCATTTTAAGAATGTGTAGTTTATGGACATACTGGCTGATGGCATTAAATTCAAAGCAGTACATGCATTGAGTTTCTCAATAACTCCATTCAGTCACTAGGTGGCGCTGTTCAGAAAATCAAAGCATACTCAAATCAAAAGACCACTCAAGGTGATATTACAGCTACATTTCACTACTCGTTGTCGATTCATTTTGTGAAATGGAAATTTCTTTCTCTATGTTTTCAACTTCCATTGCTTCATCCAGTTCATTCTTGTCACTAGCAGTCTGGGAATCCGGAGGACTAGGAAATTTTGTTCTTGAAGCAACATGATTTGTTATTTTCTGTTCGGTTTCCATGGCAACATTCTCATCATCTTTTCGTTCTGTCTCAACCCCTTGTGCAGACTGGTCAATGACAAGCCTGCATTCTGTTTCCATTTCATCATCACTGTCTCTCTCATCTGTTTTATCAATTCGTTCCTTAGATACAACATTGTCATTATCAAGGTTTTTATTCATTTTTCTCTCAGCTGTTTTTGGAACAATGTTTTCTACTTTTCTCTCATTAACAGTATTATGATCACTAGACTCCTTACTGTCACATGTTTCCAAAGTAACATCTTGACTGGCTGTGATTGGTGTTCCTTCAGTTTGGCTTGATGTGATTGGTGCTCCCTCAGTTTGACTTGATGTGATTGGTGCTCCCTCAGTTTGGCTTGATGTGATTGGTGCTCCCTCAGTTTGACTTGATGTGATTGGTGCTCCCTCAGTTTGGCTTGATGTGATTGGTGCTCCCTCAGTTTGGCTTGATGTGATTGGTGCTCCCTCATTTTGGCTTGATGTGATTGGTGCTCTTTCAGTTTGACTTGATGTGATTGGTGTTCCTGCTTTCATTTTGGATTCCCTCCTCTCCCTGGCTAATCTCTTATTTCTTTCAATTCTTTCAAGTTGTTCTTCAGTTAGGGTGCCCTGTGGAAGAGACAAACCCCCTATGTTATTATAAAATGAACAATATGACAAATACTCCAAAAACAATTAACAATTGCACTACACAAATTATGTAATAGTCAAAACTGCAAAGCTTTTATAGTTTCATGTGATGAAACTATATATATAGGGCCCCTCGCCCTTCATATACCCAGGGACTCCTCCGCCTCTTATATTTTCCAGACCCTTCCGCCTCTCATATCCATAGACCCCTTATATATCCATAGACCCCCTATATATCCATAGACCCCCTATATATCCATAGACCCTCTAATTCCTTATATCCATATATACTTATATCCTTATATACAGGGTCCATAGCACCAAGAGCCAAATGATTTCCAAGACTTTTCCAGACCTTTTTACAATGTTTCTTGCATTTTTCCCCAAGAAATTTTGACTCTTAACATCATCACCAAAGCTCATCAAAGTTCTGAGCCTGGAGAAAACGGGCCTTTCTAAAATGAATTAATAACTATGAAGAAATTCAATGACTTTTCAAAGACTTTTTTTATTTTTCTTGTAATTTAAAGACAACTCAAAGAATTTCCAGACCTCAAAAAGTCCAAAGAATTTTCCCAACGCTATGGACCCTGCCTTATGTACCTTGGTAATTTGAGCTATTGTCATCTAGAAAATTCGCCATACCCTTACAGCATTATCCCACTTGTTTGCTTCACTAGGGCCTGCACTACATCATTTATGTAGAATTTTAAATAAATATTGTCTTCTTTTTTTCGTTTTCTAGAGAACATCTAGCTTGACCATTCAAATGTTTTGTGGCAGATATTAAAACTTAGGATTATAAATGATAACATCGTTATAAAATGTCACAATGTCTGATGTAAGCCCCGGGTTTCATACCAAAACCATTTGATTTAGACAAAGTATGATATATGGTGTGTGCCACACATTTATGTACTGTACTGTGGTGTACTTGTCTGATGTTTGTTTTGTATTCTTAGGCATACAAATTCTCATTAAGACTATGTACACATGATTTTTTTTTTACATGTGTTAGTATTTTAGCACATACCGGTATAGCAGTGACAAAATTTAGTGTCAAAATCTGTCTATGATTAATTGTTTTATAGTATTAGTCAACAGTATGTAAATTTGTTGGTTCACTGTTTTTTGAGAAAATTTGCAGAATATTATGCATAAAATGCCATTTTAGCAGCAGTTTCCATAGACCACACTTTCCCGTCAAAAAATCACTAAAAATATTGGTAATTTTTTAATATTCTAGACATCAAAAAGTATCTTGTAAGAAACTATATATCTTCTTTTTAACCAAATCACCCAGCACTAAAATATTTGATATATATCCCTGCCATGGTAAAAACAATGGTAAAATGCCCTAAAACAGCAAAAATCTGCTTTTTTCTCTGTGTCTCATTGGTTGATTTTCTCCGAACTCAGCAAGATGACCCCATATTTTTAATCCATTTTCTTCATCCTTGTAACATGATATATCAAATACAAAAAAATTAAGATTATTTTTACTTTTGTGTAGCATTCTGTCTTAACCTACCTTTTTAATGCTCTGAGAACTTGGTGGAGTGGAGACTGTTGTCATTGGCAATGGTGTTGATGGTGGAGACTGAGATGGCTGTACAGAAAAAAAGTCCCAAAATGAGATTCCATTACAACATATAAAGACGAGCAGAACTAAATAGGAAATAACACTGAATACACCGCATGATAAATACTACTGTAAAAGGGTTAATTATTCACTGGATTTTAATTTTGCTTATTTCGCTGACTGGAAAATGCGCTAAATTAAAACCCAGTGAATATGTAAAAGTGAGCATAGAACACATTATCTGAATGATAAAACCGTGAATTTAAAATCCACTGAATATGCCCTGAAATGCTAAATCAGCGAAATTTAAACCCAGTGAAAATTAGTAATTTTACAGTATATTAAATGAAAGTAAACATGTACGATGTGCGTGACTTGCTTCACTTCCTATGGTGCAACTACCTATGAGCGTAGATGTTTGAAAGTCAAGAATATCTTCATACTAGTACTATTGTACTTTACTACCAAGTTTAGAAAAGTCGGAAAACTCACCATTTCACTATTATGCTGCAGAAAATCTACTTGTGATGAATTTCTTTCAACCAATGACGCTAACTCTGTGTTATCACCTTCTACCTGTCCTTGCTCTGAGGATATACAAGAAGGAAAAACTCTCGTTTATTATCAATATTCACCCAAACATCAGTCACTCTTATGTTCATGTAAACAATTCAGGGTAGCCATTTAGTAATTCTAAATATCAGATAATAGTGACATTAAGTCATTGAGGAAGACAAATAGATAACTCAATGCAAACTGGATATCAAAACATCTTATCGTCGACGCACAATGTCTGTGTTTAATGAGCAACACCATATTCACAAATGTTTTTCACTTTGCAATTTTTGTGAAAATTGTTAAATCAAAACCTCTAAAAACGGTTCTACAGCAATCAAGTTGAACATTACCTTCAGTATGTCTCATCACAAAGTCATCATCAGTGAGCGGCATATCGAGTCGTAATTTAGTGAGCGTTACCTGAAATGTACAAATATATCAATATCAAAGGTTTACCACAAAGCATGTGGTTGTATACAGAAATGTTATTTATTGTGTGGTTGCTAAGTTGGCATATAAAACAAGTAGAGTAATAATATTTCAAAAATTTGTCAATATCTTCACCAAATTGTTGTTTCCATGACAAACAGATTCAGATCTCGATCAAAATCTGAACAATTATAATATACATTGTAACAGTCATTTTGTCAAGAGCATCCTTCTTGAAAAAGCCATGAAAAATGAATGACTTCTAGAGGTAATGATGAATCATTCCCAAAATCTCTGTTTCCATGGTGACCACATATCTACATACATTGTCATTGTTCAAATTTTCAAGCAAGCAGGCAAACTCTAATAAAAACGGGAAATTTTTTTTTCTTGGCCTTACCTGTACTGGCTTCTTGTGACCAAGTTGTTCCACTTTTTCTATGACATCATCAAATGTCATCTTTGGATACAGACGATGTGCCCAATGCTCGTACGCTTGCATCATAACTTTTAAATCAGAAACTTCATGACCTTTACCCTTGAATTTTAATTTGGAGAACTGTTTGGGAATACTTGGAATCCCCCTCTCTGGATCAATCAGTCTGAAAATGAAAAATATGCAAATACTGTTAATATAGCAACAGTTTTGTCCTTTCAACTCCAATACTTAAAAATAATACAATAAAATATTTGTATGAGCTTATAGATATTATGGTACTGTAAAATGACTAATTTTCACTGCGTTTAAATTTCGCTGATTTACCATTTCAGGCATACTCAGTGGGTTTTAAATTCATGGTTTTATCATTTAGATAATGTGTTCTATGCTAAATTTTACATATTCACTGGGTTTTAATTTAGCGCATTTTCAAATCAGCCCAGTGAATAATTAACACTTTTACAGTAATTAAATCATTTTCATCTTTGCTGATCTATTTTGAGCACCTGGTTGTTCTTGAGCAAGGTCACAAATGACCATATATAGGCTGTAATATTGGTACACACCTTTCAGCTGATTTATACGAGGTCAACAAAATCTAACTAGTCAATTGATGTCATTGTGAACAGCCAGTCACTGCTCACAAAATATGCTGGATGTTGATTTGTTAAATCATCTATAAAATTTGCATAAAATTAAAAGCATTTAATAATGTTTGCCAATGATATAGATCAGGGTGATAGTTTGTTATATTTCGAAAATGACACTTTTTAATGTCTCAAACCATATACACTGTACTGACTCCTAAACTACCTCAATGTTCTACTCTAATTTCTTCTCCAGGAGCGGCATAATTGCAGCTAAATGTCTGTATCATATTTGATAAAGTGAGTTTTATGGTCAAAATAAGAAATATTTTTATTATCTAGTATAGAAAAATGCAAATTTTGCATTTCAATTGGAGATGATGCCCAATCTACCATAATTACAAGGTCAAGGTTTAGTCTGTCCTACCGTAAAATATGTATTAGAAGCCGCATCCCTAATAGAAGTCGCACCCATTCTTCTTGAACAATTGAGAACCAAAAAATTCACTGTTTCTCATATGTGTAGATGCTCTAATAGAAGCCACATCCCCTCTGTCAGAATATACCATTTTACTAGAAGTTGCAGCTTCTAATACAGATATTACAGTAATAAGATTATCATGTGACATAAGCATTGAAGTATAAACCAAGATTTTATATGATAAGAGTATGCAAGCAAGATATACAATAAAGATCTATAGAATTGACGAAGTCACATGAATTACATGATCAACACAATATTGTAAGACAAACTTACAATTCTTGAATTGCAAATCAGTGTGCGATAGAGGTGATTACCTGGTAGTTTTCATATCAGACAATTTTTGATGGTGTCCGTGCTTATTTAAAAAGAATGCAGCTCTTTTATTTCTGTTTACGCAATTGAACTTTTCCAAGTGTCCATCGCTTTTTGTAACACCATTGGTTACAAACAAGTTTGATTTACATGCACGGAATATAGACGCTTTCAAGTGGTTGCAAAGCTCAATAGTGCACGTCTTGTGGTATCGTCATCACGTATTACCATACATAGTTATAAAAGCTGCATACCCTAATCTTATAAATCATTGTTACGACTGAATACTATACCTATTTGCATCTAGTTTGGGTTGAGGTTTCCTGTTCACTATTCTAGCTACTTTGGCTGTGGGAATGTCTTCTAATGCAGCTTCAACTGCATCAGTACTGCTCTCTGTAAATAAAAAGCCATCAGATTCTCAAATGCTTTTCATTTTGAATATTTATATCGTCTTGTGCTCACTATACACTACCTTTGATTTACGCAAAAGTTAATACAGGAGTCTATAGTACAATTTAATAAAACGTACTGAATCATTTCATATGCTTGCGACTGGTAATCAAACAAAGCATGTATTATAGATTCATGCTAAGGTTGAATGCAACCAACAGACTCTAATACAAGGCATGTGATTTTATACAGTTAAAATTAAAAATGTGAAAAATGCAAGCCTCCTTGACAAAATAATAAGGTAAAATGCAACATTTAATTGCAACATGCATGTAATATGTCTTTACTTTACAATTATTATGTGATATGGTTCAAGGGGCATGCATTTTTTTTGCATTTTTACACTGACCCATGGGTTTCCATGTTAAAAAGCTTTGCATTATACATGTATAGTACATAATCTTTGGTTTTATGCGAAGATATGTAGTCTTGGAGTAGGAGGAATAACAATTCATCGCCATGACAGTCCCTGTTCAGTTTTAATGACTGTCAAATATAAAAGGCAGATTAATTATAATTAAATGTTAGGGGAGTATACAGCATGTTAAAAATATGCTTGAAATGGCAAATTTCCCAGGTTTTGTTCAGTCACACATCCTAGGATCATTCTCATATCGTACAAAATTGTTAAATTCATGCGCATAAACCAGTTTGACATTTATAATCAAATCACAAAACAAAATATTATTTGTGTTAAAGCAAGCTAGAATGAAATCAACTCAGCCATGTTTGAGAAATTTGTATTTAGATCTAAAAACATAGAGAAACTACCTAAGCCCTGCCAGTACATAGTATTCAGATTTGTGAGGTGAGCTATAATGTAGGTTTCACATCTATGAATTAAAAACTTATAGCTGTGAAACATATTTTTGGGAAATTTTACCATAATCTGCATTTATCTTAAAAAACATGAATATCAACAATGTTGTATAAGGTAATGTATAATAGGGATATCGGTAATTAAATAGTTTAGTCACAGTGTAAAAAGGAAGAAGAATATTATGAACCAGATTTAACCATGAACTCAATAATAAAATGAAAGTAACTCAATGGGTAAATGACTTGAAAATACTTTTGTATCGAGGAACAAATTTAAAGCACTGAAATATGCTATAACCTTGATATACTATAATAGATAGGACTGATCTGTCTCTTGTTTGCACTGGTGATCATTTGTCTCAGACACAAATCTTACAAATACTGGAGTATGTACTAAAATTTGCCTAAAATTTCGAGTACACTTAAGAACAGCCTGGTGAATCACTATGTAACTAGTTTTCTAGAATACTGTAGAATACTTTATGTTCGCTTGGAATTTATTTTCGCTATTTTCGTTGAAGGGATGATTCCGTGAATATAAAATCCAGCGAATATTTCCTATATTTCACATTAAACTCATCAAAAATCAGTGAAAATAAATTCCATACAAAATGCCAAAAAAGCCTTTTCAGCGAAAATTAATTCAAGCGAAAATAAAGTATTCCACAGTGGTTTGTGAACAATACCTTTAAGTGCCTGGCTGACAAACCTATCATCTTCAGCATCATCATCACTACGCCTTGAGATAAAGATGGCATTTCACGTAATGA